TAATGGACATGCCTTAGCGGTCAGAATTGTGGTACAACAAAAGAAAGAGATGGAACAAAGTTTCGGACAATATCCATCTCTCTCACGATAGTGCATAAGCGTGTCATGAAAGAGATAGCACTAGTCCGAAACTATACGCCATCTCCCTCACTTTTCGAGCCAAGAAATTATTACAATGACATACGGCTAAGGCACGTCCATTAATATATGTCTATGGTTAGGATATTGTACCTATTTATTGTATTTTTGAAGTAAAACTTCTATATATATAGACGGGGGTATTACGATTTTTCTGTCATGAAAAAGCGTTACGGCCGCGTTGAGGGGATAGACGATATATCTCATGTTGAGTGGCGGCAGCGGCGGAGGGAGAGAAGGGCTGGCGGAGGCGAAGAGAGGGCAACGACTGTATTAGAAAGATATAATGCGCAGCCGTGCGGAGAGCGGGATGTCCGATAGAGTCCCGGCTGTGTGTGCTGTGCTCAGCTGTTGTTTTCTTACCTCTGCTCTCCACGTGGCTGGGCATCATTGCTTCTATTTGCGGTCTGAGTAAAAACCAGATCATAATTTTCAGTAAAGCTGTGAAAACGAAATGTATACTGGGACACATAGTAGAAGTGAAACTTCAACGGACAAGTGGAAAAACGAATCGTAACAAAATTTTTACTTCAAGCTTTACGGGTAGATTTTTAATGTACTTGTTTAATTTGAAAACCTGCCCGTAAAACTTTAAATAAAAATTTTGTTACGATTCGTTTTTCCACTTGTCCGTTGAAGTTTCACTTCTACTATGTGTCCCAGTATACATTTCGTTTTCACAGCTTTACTGAAAATTATGATCTGGTTTTTACTCAGACCGCAAATAGAAGCAATGATGCCCAGCCACGTGGAGAGCAGAGGTAAGAAAACAACAGCTGAGCACAGCACACACAGCCGGGACTCTATCGGACATCCCGCTCTCCGCACGGCTGCGCATTATATCTTTCTAATACAGTCGTTGCCCTCTCTTCGCCTCCGCCAGCCCTTCTCTCCCTCCGCCGCTGCCGCCACTCAACATGAGATATATCGTCTATCCCCTCAACGCGGCCGTAACGCTTTTTCATGACAGAAAAATCGTAATACCCCCGTCTATATATATAGAAGTTTTACTTCAAAAATACAATAAATAGGTACAATATCCTAACCATAGACATATATTAATGGACGTGCCTTAGCCGTATGTCATTGTAATAATTTCTTGGCTCGAAAAGTGAGGGAGATGGCGTATAGTTTCGGACTAGTGCTATCTCTTTCATGACACGCTTATGCACTATCGTGAGAGAGATGGATATTGTCCGAAAAGTCAATCCATCTCTTTCTTTTGTTGTACCACAATTCTGACCGCTAAGGCATGTCCATTGGTAAACGTCGATGATCCTAACCAATATGTATTATTTTGCAGTAGCCTATTTTATTATTATATTTAAATAAAACTGTCTGTAGTAAAAAGCTCCAACTACTATAGATGGAAGCGTTTAAAGAATTTTCGACCTATTAAAAGTAGAAAAGTTTTTTAGAAGAAGACAAGTCTAATAAAGCGAAATAAGCAATTTAATAGACCCTGCCACATTCATAAACATAATCACAGAACATGATATCACAGATCTTGTTTTAAGGAAAGGATAGTATGCTAGATTTTTGTTGGAATCACTTGCAAAAGACATAAGAAAAGAAAGCTTCACTATGCCCAAACTTAAAACCATGGGCTTAACTTTTGATTAAAGAAATAGTGAAAAACAATAAAAACATCCCATTGTTTTCTTCAAATTGCGGCATATTTCTCAGAAACTGTTGCTTTAAGAGAAAACTAATACATAAGAAAAATTTTCGTAATTAAATTTCCTCTAAGGTGTAATTGTTTTTTTCTATTGCAAAAATGTAAAAAAATACAAAAAAAAAATATATTAACTTGCGGTTTTTTTCATATACTATACATTACTCCTAAGATCTCCTAAAGAAAACTATTTATTATGATAAATTTCACCTAGATCAGCTTTATAATTTTTGCATTAGATCTGGCATTTTTTTTTTACTTAAAAATAAATGCAATAACTCCATTAATACTTGATCAATTTTAATTTTCGAAATACATTTTGAAAGTGCTCGGAAAGACGCCTTTTTCTGAAAATATTTATTGTGACACGCTAATTTGAACTTGCGCTGCAGTATAACAGTGAACTCAATTAAAATAAAAATATAAGAATATTAGGACTGTTTTTTGACCAAGGACTTAATTAGTCTTAACACTTACAATATAAGAATTTTCAATACCCGCGATGAAGGTATACCTCGTTAAATTGTTAAATAAACAGCGCGAAGTTGATTCGATATTGCATTTATTTATAAGTAAAAAAAAATTGCCAGAGCTCTAAACAATTTTCTAGGCTCTCCAAATCAACGGATTACAATTTGGCAAAATGGGTTCTAAAGTATAGACGCTCTTTTGCATGTCAAAAAATTTGCACGCCTTAAAATACATACGTTTGGCCTCAGCAAGAGTAAATTGCAAAATTATTATGCAAAAACTATAAAGCCGATCTAGGTGAAATTTAATGGATTATTTATCATAATAAAATGTTTTCTTTAGTCAAGTATGAAGGTCTCAGGACCAATGTAAAAAATGTGAAAAAAAAATCCGCAAGTTAATATATATTTTTACGTTCTTTTTTGTAATTTTTCACGTTTTTGCAATGGAAAACATGAATTTTGTGATTCGCAAACAATTTCACCTTATACGAAATTTAATTATGAAAATTTTTCTTCGTTACGACTTTTAAACAGTTTCTGAGATATATGCCACAATTCAATGAAAAAAACGGGAGTTTTTGATTTTTTTCACTATTTCTCTATAATAAAAAATTATGCCCGCGGTTGTACGTGTTCTCATAGTGAAACTATCTTTCCTTATGACTTTTGGAAGTGATTACAACAAATATCTAGCATACTATACTTTTGATCCTATTATAAATATTTGGAAAAAGATATTACACCGTTTACTTATTAAAGAAGAATTTCATTGGTTTTTGAAACGAGATTTTAATAAAATTACGTATAAAATTTAGCGTTGTATCAAACATTCTTAACAGTTGTCTACTTTATCAAACTTAAATAGATTTGCATCGGATTATATTCCTTAAAATGGATCTCATTAAAATAGATTCTTCTTTTTCTAGTAATAGTACTACGGATAAACAGTCTTACTTGGGACCCATATTTGGTAAAGTTTTGCAAGAAATAAAATGGTACTGCTTAAGAAAATATGTCAGGAACATCAAATTTTATCAAAAAAGATAGGTATTGATATAAAATGAAGAAGACACAAGTGGATTGTTTCGCCAATTTATTTTGTTAATAAGATCGAAACAACTGTCGGATTGACAAAATAAATTAATGAAACTGTATATCACTTGTAATTTCTTTATTTTATATTAATTCATCATATTACAAAAATGACAATTTAAATTTAAAAAAATATTGTTTACCTGGTCGATTATTTCCAAAACTTGATTAAAAAAATGAAAAACATCCGAAGTGAAACTTTCTGATCCTCGAATTTTCACTTCTATAAACTCTGAAGGAATTTGTGGTTTGTTTAATGTTATCATAGTTTCAAAATTATCTGTACTCAATTTTGATCCTCGGAACCACTGGTAAAGATCTGTTTCGTTGTCTATAGATTGATTGTTCAATGTTGCTTTACGCAATTCTACCTAGATAAAATAAAGAAAGAAGACGTAGAGAAATTGTCTGTTCATGGAGTAAATGAATAACCACAAACCTGTATATGGGAAAACACTGAAAATAACAGATGTAAAGTATTCGGAGGAGTATGCAATTGTATACCTCCATAGATGGTCTCATCAGACTTATACCTCGGATCGTGGGCATCCCAAAGTCCTGGAAGCGTTTCCGTTTGATTATAAATTGGGAATTCATATTCTACATCATCATCTACGAGACACTAAAATGCGTTTTTAAACTTCAATAATTTATAATGTGTTGTTTGTTAGTTATAAAATTACTAAGGGGAAATCAATAAACATAATCGAACAACCAATTAGATTTAAACAGTTACTCGGTACTCAATCTCTGCTCAACTCCTTACCCCTAGTTCAGTAACTGATTGATTCATACACCGTATGTCTCGTAATCGTAAATACTGAATATATCGAGCGACATGCCTAGAGATTTAGACCATTACTTTTTTAGCATTCGGGAAATCACCGGCTTGATTCTACTTCCGCCTGTCAAGGCCAAGCGTTCCTGCGGCTTTCTTTAATCACTTAAGCAAATGCTGGTATAGAATCTCGCAAGGATTGCACGCCCACCTGCATTAATAGTATGTGAGATTCTCACCGTCATCTCCATACTAATATTCAGGTCTGTTCTTTGGCGTCACATTGTTCACATTCAAATTAATATCGGTTACACATCAAAGAAAATATTGTTTTGATTGATTTAGCATCATTTGAAGTGATGAGAAATCAATGAATAATTTGTTTTTGAAACCACTCATTTATTCTATCTATCACTTCCTTTAGAAACTTTTACGAGTTTCGAATAGATAAGTTAAATTTTTGAAAAATTAACGTCTTTAGTGAATATAATGGATGAGTCAACGATGCGCTGTAATACATACTTTAGAATTTATGAGTAGCTACAGTGTTCATGTGTTCAAAAAAGTAATATGGAAGCCTCGATTATCAAATATTGTAATATTGAAAGATGGCAGCAGCTCTTTCAGTACTCAGGGTGTCAGAGATCGTGAGGATCGCTATGGCACTCTGATGCATAATATTGCGATGTAGAAGGCAACGGGAAACCACCATTTTATGAAATCCAAAAAAAGAAAAACAAAATGATGGCGTCCTCTGGGGTAAAGCATTCCGGACGTAAACTAGTCCCCCATTCGGATCCGGGCGGGAACTACCTCGGGGAATACCATCAATAAGTACAATTTGGTATGCAAGGGAAGTAAAAGTAAGAAAAGACCGAATATAAACATAGGAGACGAAAAATTACAAGAAGTGGCTGAGTTTAGGTATGTAGGAAGTCAGATAAATCAGGGCAAGAGGAGTAGTAGGGATAGCGCAGGGTCGAGTCGCCTTCAATCAAAAGAAGTCACTTCTATGCCCGCGAAAGGCTAATTTATAAATTCGAAAAAGATTGTTAAAGGTGTATGTTTGAAGCGCGGCGCTGTAGGGGTGCGAAACATGGACGGTGGTCGTGGCGAAAAAGAAAAGGTTAGAAGCGTTCGAAATGTGGTGTTACAGGTGAATAATGAGGATACCGTGGATAAATAAGAGTAGAAATGAAGAGGTATTAGACAGAATAAGAGAACAGAGGACTCTATGGAAGTCAATAAGAAATAGGCGAAAAAGGTTGGTAGGACACCTTCTCAGGCATGAAGGTCTAGTCAGAGGCATATTAGAGACAGAAACAGGAGTTAAGAGGAGTAGAGGTAGACCTAAATTAGATAACTGTTCGCAAATAGTTAAGGATGTGGGCTGTTCCAGTTTTAGGGAAATGCGAAAATTAGTTCAGGATAGGAAAGAATACAGGTGCATGTTTAACCAGTCTTAGGACTGACGTCCTTGTGATGATGAATCTAATTTAGGTCTACCTCTACCCCTCCTAACTCCGATTTCTGTCTCTAATATGTCTCTGACTAGACCTTCACGCCTGAGAAGGTGACCTATTTCACCTATTTCTTATTGACTTCCATAGAGTCCTCTGTATGCTCAATACAACATAATGTAATATGTTCAGTTATCACATAAACTGCTTCGTTGTAGGCGGACTCCATGTTCCTGGCACTTCGCATTTCCCTAAAACTATTAGAATAATCCCCATCACCCAAATTACGTTAAATTCCAAGACGAACGCAATTCAGTAAAATAATTTAAGTATTAAAAAGGCTATTAATTACTATACTATACCAATTGAAAATACATATATATTAAGCAAGTAATTTGACCACCCAAGTCTCCCTACCCTTTTTACACTTCAAAGTCTACAACCAACAAAATGAAATGGGCAAACCATAAAATTTAGAAATAAAAAAAACCCAGTAACCGTGAATTCTAAAGAACACATTGTTATAGCAAAACTACTTAAAATTACTGAGTACCTACGTCAAACATTAAAAAATGTCTTCATTTGTGATCATGGCGTCAAGAGATAGGGCAGGTGAACAGTCAACAAAAGGTGCAAATTTTCAAAAACCTAAAAAGATTCAAATAACTCTAAAACCGTGGGACTTTTTGCTCACATAAAATTCAATGTTTTGAATGTTCTTGAGTTCCGTATACGCAGTTGAAAACAGTAATTATTTCCAAAACGCATACTTATACATTCGAATCTCCCCTAGTAATTGACTGTAAATACATACAGAATGCATACACTTATTCAAAAATTATTTATACTAATTATATATGAACATAAATTACCTGTACACATAAATGAAGCGATTCCATGAGTTGTATGGTACCGAGAGCGTCGCATTCAGTAAAGCAAGCTTGAAAATCATCTGCAGTGTAAACTCCAGTAGTTCTTGCGTTGGAAATAAACTCGTTTGATAATAGTTCACCAATTAAATTTTTGCCTAACCACGTTAAACAAACTACCACTAAATCGCCTGTGTAAAATACCTACAAAAATATGAATAAGAGATAAAAAACGCCAAAGGTGAGAAAAATCGACCTCTCCCATTTTATGAAGCTGCAACAGGGCGTCTTCAATATGATCGTCAGACGCTAAAGGATTAACATCGTTTCTTATTATCTCATAAATATCATCTTTAAATAAAACAGGAAATTGTTCAAAGCCTTTCCTTAAATTCCCTAATAATGTCACTATGGATTCCATTAAACCTGTCCAATTCCCTACACTTAACTGTAAATATAATAAATCAAATTTAATTGATGTGAGTGACTATTTTACTTTTATTACCGTGCTAGATGCATGTTTAAGAGAAGCTAGAAGAGCTTTGAATTGTTTGAAGCCGTGGCATGCAGGCGCAGTGCAATCGACGATTAAAACGTTAGGATCTAAGTTGTATACATGAGGTATGAGCTTTTTTACAGCTTCAAGGGTTTTTTGTGCATCTGTTGAAATCCATTCACCATTCTGATTTTTTGGAGTACGAGTTAAATCGACATGAGTGGCTACCAAGTGAACTTTTCCATATGAAGCTAAAATAGAGTAGGTATAGACACAATGAAATGTAATAATGATGTACTTCAGTTTAATGACAATTTTTAAAGCCTATTTACACAAAGATAAGATCCAACATGAGAGTATGTTTTATCCACAGCGGTTAATTTGACTTTTTTCTAAATATACCTAATCATATGAACGATCATTCTATGTTAAATTCTCCATCTTTTTGACAGGCAACTGGGAGGGAGCAGGATGGATGAGCGAAATTACAAATAATAGACGAAAACTATAAATATAAAAACAAAAAGAGATGAAACGTATCGAAAAGCAAATGTAATAAACGAAGTATTGTTAAATAGCTTGATGCTCAGTACCAACCATAGCTATTGGCGAAACATTGAATAAACGACTCCATCGGTGTTCTCACTTAGTCGCATTGCAATTATAATTACAGTTTATATTCTGACAACAAAAGTACAACATTTTATTAGGCAACCAAATAAGTTCGTGCGGTTTTTGATAGTAAAATATAAATATTTATCAAAGAACAATTACATATTATTATTCATTGAAGTGATAACTGTTCACACTGAACAACCTTTTGCCATTTTTTTGTATGCCGATATTATAGAACTTCATGGATTTTGAATAAAAAAAAAAATGGCATACAGCATTAATTACATCATTTCGAGTTTTGAATTGCCTTTGCCTCGTATGGTTGTCAATTGACAAACAAAGGTGGTAATCACTTGGTAAAATGTCAAAAGAATATGGAGAGTCTGATAACAGTTCTCAACCAAAGCTACAGTTATAGACCACTTCGAATTATTTTATTCGATTAAGCTAACGTGCCTATCACGTTGAGGTTGGCTACGCCGGGATTCGTTTTCAGCAAGTAGATATCCACACAAGTGGACCTTGTTGGCGCATACGTAATCCTAAAATGTAGCATCGTGCTACAGATGGCGTTTACTGGGCCATTTGTAGTATTTTCTAAAACGCACTGTTAAGACAGCAGGTAAAAGTTGGTCTGTGTTCTGTCGGAGCTGCCTGCGACGCGCTGATGAGATCCAAAAAGATCGAAATCGCGATCCGCGTCTGGCAGTTTCGACAGAATACAGACCACTTCGAATTATTTTATTCGATTAAGCTAACGTGCCTATCACGTTGAGGTTGGCTACGCCGGGATTCGTTTTCAGCAAGTAGATATCCACACAAGTGGACCTTGTTGGAGCATACGTAATCCTAAAATGTAGCATCGTGCTACAGATGGCGTTTACTGGGCCATTTGTAGTATTTTCTAAAACGCACTGTTAAGACAGCAGGTAAAAGGTGGTCTATGTTTTGTTGGAGCTGCCTGCAACGCGCTGATGAAATCCAAAAAGATCGAAATCACGAACCGCGTCTGGCAGTTTCGACAGAATACAGACCACTTCGAATTATTTTAGTTCTCAACCAAGTTCAGAAAATTTTTCCCAAGTCATTATCCCGTAGGAATGTCATTTTCATTCGATTGATGAAAGAAGATTGTTTTTCGATGAGCGCTGCTTATACTTTTTGAAATTGGTCACAATACAGATTAGCAGTGATGGTTTGACTCGTTTGCAAAAGTTTATACTAGACAATTCCGGTTACTCCACCAAACACCCTAAACAAAATCTTGTCTGGATACAAGGAATCTTTGGGAGTGTGTGGAACCGAATCACTGGGCGACAATCAATAATGCGCACCCTTGGAAGTTGAATATAACGCTTACTTTTCGTCGCAGGTTAACAACCAATCAAGAAACGGTTCATTATCGTTGCGCGAAATTTTTGCCGAACAAACGGTAAGACAACTTAGTTTGTTGTTATTTGACAATTCTTGTAGGACCCACTTTTTTAACTTTCACGACTTTCCTGACTGCTGAAAGTGCAAATGAATGGCTTCATCACTCAGATTGAGCCTTTCTGCAAGCTCTAGATATGTTGCCCAAGAATTTTCCTCCACAATTTGTTAAATACAGTGTAGCGTCGATTATTCGAACGTCGATCAACCGAACGATCGCTTATCCAAACTACCACGCCCGCCCAGGGAGAACCTATTTCTGGCCCAATTCTGTGTGGAAAAGTAGTTCAATGTAACGAAAAACTTGGAGGGTCATCATAGTTTTCATTTACTTGTACGTAAATTTATATGGTTGAATCGGTTCAATTATCCGAAAATACCAGTTTTCCGAACACCCAAGTCTCCCAATTAGTTCGGATAATCGATGCTCTACTGTATCTTTATTGTTTAAGATCTTCGATCTCCCAGAGCGTGCTTCATTGGTCAACCTGAGATCTGCCGAAGAAAATTTCTTGGAATATTTCTGTGTTGTTCGATTACTTACGGCATCATCTCGGAATGCGGTATATACTGCACTGCCACTTTGGTACTTTTCTACTAATACAGTAAACAACCTCGAATTAAAGTTTTATTCGTTGCGAATTTTCAATTATTTTGTTATTTATTTTATTTTAATTAGAAATTTAACAATTGTCATCAAATGTGACTGAATCCGACGAAAGAAGGGTTTATACTAAACTAGATGACAGACAACAAACAAATGCTATCGATCAAAAGCTTAAATGACACTATTGTACACAAAAACCACACGAATTTATTTAGTTACCTGATAAAAGTAATAAAAAAATGCCGCTTGGTGACGAATCTCACTAGATCATCAAATGTTTCCTGATTCATCTTTCATCCTGTTTGGAAATTGAAAGTATCTTCCAAAGCCTTTGCTTTTACAGAAAACCTCTTTTTGTGATTTTTCATAAAATCAGGATGAATCCAAAAATGGTTTTGTGTTTTCTTCTGCGTCCAATACAGAGCACCTACCACTAAATCTTCATCGGACGACGATATCGCTGAAAGCATTTTTCCATAAATGGACGCACAAATACGCCACCAGTTTCTTGGTTTCAGTTGCTCAAATGGATTAACCACTTTTAATGAAGTAAACGAAAGTTTTCACTTCAAAAAAATTTGTAACAAGCTAGACTTTGGTGAACAACATTCTTCAAGTATGCTAGAATAACGTAGTGAAAGGTCTACCGAAAAAAAAAATTATTTCTACGCTAGTGTCATTCGAAAGAAATTTTACGTAAGAAACATAATTGATATGTATTTTCGGTAGTAAATTGGAAATGGTTATAACTTTTAATTGAAAAAGAAAATGATATGAAACTAATTAGAGATGAAAGAGTATCATTTCCTCGAAGTATTATGTTTTTAAATATTTTTACTTTAATTATTACATATGTAGCTTGAAAAGGAATATTACACAAGTAGAGATTTTTTAGAAGAACAGAGATGTTAAAAAGTATGAAAAAATAATATTTCGATATTTGGCAACCGATTTTCAATTTCGGCAATTTTAGGTAAGTTTCATTTCTAGTTTCGTCTAGCTATAAGTTGCATGTGCTGCAAGCTGCTACCCGAAAGATTCTCCTTTATGTGGAATTTTGGGGTTTTTAATTAACTACATTGTTTAATATTTTTTGAGTTGAAAATTAAAAATCAAACAGAACTTGTATTCGAAAATATATCCATGTCCATTTTCAAGTAAATTTAGTCTAGAGTACTTATTCAAGCCGAAATGCGTAGGTCCAACAAAGCTCTTTTATTTACCAACATTTTCAGATAAGAAAGCACTTCAGTTGGTTAAACATTTTATTTTTTAATCAGTAACTAACTACCTGAAATATACGCATATCAAAAACCTAACTGGGTTGGCTTTAGTAAGCTGCATTTATGGGAATGGTAGCGAGAGGAAGGGGTTACAAAATGTTTTCTCCAAGAGATGGAAGTGCGAGTAAAACACAAAACAAAATCTACTTTTGAGGTTATGTTAGGTCATGGAAGGGAAAGGTTTCAGTGATTCCCCAATTTATACAATAAGCTCAGAAATTTGATTTTTTTCATTCCTCAAAGAAGACTCAGCAACTTCTCATACCCCAGTCCTATCCCAGAATGCTTATCATGTCTGTCTTAAAAATAGCAAAATTTTATGGTATAACCTAAAAATTGTTTTTTTATTTTAACCAATTTACGCATGTTCCTCCCACGGGGAAAGTTTTTCCTATCACCTTTCCCTTCCCCCTCCCATATCCCCTGTCATGTCATAGGCTATTGAAGCAAAACAATCTTTTAACAAAAATTAAAGATTAGGTTCCTAAAGGTAGAATGATTATGCAATTAGTTCCTTACAAGGCAACAAGTCAGCAGGTTGTCGAGCTAGGATGAAGTTAATCCAGAAGCACACCTGTTGGATCTGTACTAATGGACTGTCTTCTAAATTAAATAGGATTACAGTCAACACGTTGGGTGACGGACTCAGGAAATTATGATAGACAGGAAAATAGTTTTCCTGGCCGGAAAATTCTAGAACGGTAACGTCACCGACACCAGAAATGTCAATCTGCAAGTGTATGGAATAATTAAACGTCAGCCTTTTATTATCTCACAATTAAAATGTGTTTACGTTTTGAATGTGAATTCCTTTTGTTGAGTGATAGTGAATTGGAGGTTCGAATGTTAACGAGTTGTGTCTTGAGGTAACGTCCATTTCGATTTGTGTTGTTATTGGAGATGATGGACGGGCTAAAAAAGGCATTTTTCACTAATTTAGAACAAATACATAGTTTATACGGTCTTATTGAAATTTGCAGTTTGGTGCTTATTCAACGTTTTGGAAGAATAACTTTTTATTGTAACCTAATCGAGCTACTTCATTTTTACTGTTAATAGATATCAATTCTTTGCAGTTGTATACGACACATATTGAAAAATGTAAATTTTGCTCAAGAGTCAATTGTTATTAAGAAAAGTTGATGTTGGAAATCGCGTTTTATAATTTCCCGCCTATTTGTGAGCGCTCTGCGCGTCCAATGTTCTTTCTAATTTTGTTACCCGCGATCAACACGCCCTCTCACTTGTTCACTTTGCTCGGTCTGAGTTCAACTTCATACGTTCATGTACAACTTTTGTTCTCTTAATTTTCAAGTCTTTGTTTAATATAAAATAAACGTTTTGAGTTCCAATTAGGTAGTCACGGTTTTTATTGTGTTTCGATCCCGAACCTTAACATGTTATGGGCCCAGGCTGTAAAAACACAAAACTGTGACTTCGCGAGTGTTTTTCGTCAAGAAAATCAAGCTAAGAAAAGGCACGCGTCGGCCATTAGACGCGACGCGAACTTTCTGGAACGTGCACGAACGCGCCGGAACCAACGCCGACTTGCAGTTCGTCTCGTAATCGTAAACAGCAACGCAGTGTCTCGCGCAATTTACGAAAATGGCAGAACAAAACGTAGTGGGTTCAGTGAGGATAACCATGCTGACAAGCGACAACATCGACACATGGAAAATCCACGCCGAAGCCATGCTGATCCGAAACAAGATGTGGGGTTATGTTTCCGGGAAGATAAAGGCGCCGACTCTCTCGGCAAAACCAACCGCTCGGGAAATCGCCGCCTACGAAAAATGGGTCGACGAGGACCTCAGCGCCAAATCCGACTTGCTCCTGGCGATTAGCCCGTCCCAACTTAAACACGTGCGCGGGTGCAAAACGTCCAAGGAGGTATGGGACAAAGTCGAAGTCACGTATGCACCTAAAGGTCCGGCCCAAATGGCCACCTTGCTACGGACACTCCTCCAGAAGAAGATGGCAGAAGGTGATGATGTTCGTGTTCACATGGCGCAGTTTTTCGAAACCGTCGATAAACTTGCGGCCATGGAGGTGGAGATCGACCCAAAGCTGACCTCGCTGATGCTCATGCAGAGCCTCCCGAGCAGCTACGACCTCTTCAGACGAGCCATCGAATCTCGAGACACGCTCCCATCTCTCGACGTGCTGAAAAACAAAATCCTCGAAACCAGCGAAGCCGCCAAGGAACTCGAAGAACACGGAGCCATGTACGTGAACCAAAAACAGAAACCTAGGTTCAACAAACCGAAAGGCCGAGTCGGCAACAAGGACAAAAACCAAGGTGGGGACAAGCCGCGCCCCAAGTTCAATTGCGGCTACTGCAAGAAGCCCGGTCACAAGGAAGCAGACTGCTGGAAGAAAGCGAAGGAGAAAAACAAAGACAAGGCCAACAACGTGGAGGAAGAAGCCTGGCTCGACAACGAGAAAACCGATCGTGCGAACATGGTGCACGCCTCCCCGGGATGGTGTCACAACTCTGGTTGCACATCACACATGTGCAATGACAAAAACGCTTTCGTCAACCTGGTCGAAGCTGCAGGTGGATTGAACCTCGCCGATAGAAGTCTCACTCAGGTTGCAGCGAGGGGCGATGTCAAGGTTGCCGTCCAGGTCGGCAACATGAGCAAGGTCATCAAGTTGGAGAACACCTTGTTCGTGCCCCGGCTGAAAACCAACCTCCTGTCAATATCCAAGCTCATCAACAACGGACACGAAGTCGTGTTCAGCAAGGACCAAGCCGTGGTGAAGGACAAAAATGAAGACGCCAAGCTGACGCGACGGCGACTTGTTTTATCTGAGCTCGCCCCACCTCAACGAACGAGACCTCGTTGCCATGAGCAAACATGAGTTGGCCGCTGGTCTACAATTTGAAACAACAAAACTTTCCCCTTGCAATGTTTGTACTGTTGCTAAATTGTCGTCTTCTCGTTTTCAGACTCGCCAAGAGAGATCCGGTGGAATCCTGGACCTGGTGCATTCCGACGTCTGCGGTCCCATGCGCACCCAGTCCTTAAACGGTGCACGCTACTTCGTCACGTTTATCGACGACCACAGCGGCTGGGGCGAAGTATACTTCATGCGACAGAAAGAAGAGGTCCTGGAGAAGTTCAAGATCTTCAAGGCGATGGCGGAAAATCAAAAGAATCGCCGAGAGTTCTGCAACAAGGCGTTCGACAAGTACCTCGCCGATGCCGGGATCCAGCGACGCCTGAGAGTGCCACACACGCCTCAACAAAATGGAGTCACCGAACGCCGCAATCGAACACTAGTCGAGGGTGCCAGATCCATGCTTGGTTGACTCAAGGCTTCTGGGCAGAAGCTGTGAGCACCGCAAACTACACCAGGAACTGGTGCGTTTCAAGTCCCCTTGGCAACAAAACCCCTTTCGAGGTCTGGACCGGCAGCAAACCGGTCATCTCACACCTTCGGACCTTCGGCAGCAAGGCGTATTTCCTGGACAAAACACCAGGAAGAGGCAAACTGGACCCTAAGGCAAAACTCGGTGTGATGGTTGGATACTCCAGCGAGGCGAAGGCGTACCGGATTTGGGTGCCCGACGAGCGGAAAGTTTACGCCTCGAGGGACGTGAAATTCCACGATTCGATCGCGCACCTGTTTTCAACAACGACAACCAGCCGCAAGCACCTGCCGAGGACTATCAGTTCTACGATCTGGTCGTCAACAACGCGCCGCAGCCAGCACCGGAGGAACCACCTGCTCAGAACCAATCAACCCATCCTTGTGACATTCCTTTGCCCGTGTCCCACGATGAGGAGTTCCGCGGCTTCCCGCCAGTGACGCCTCCAAGCCAAGGCATGCACAAGAGCCCATTTTGAAAAACGGACCAAGACGTCCCCGGATCGTGAGAAGCGGGAACCGCGGACGACCAAGGAAGGAATATCATCCTCGATCCGCCAGCGCACCTCGCACTCATCCAGAAAATGTTGCACCTGCGGAGAATCACTCTGGGGATGAGAGCACGGACGAGGAGGCCATGGACGATATCCTGTTCGACGAAGCAGTGAGTGGCCCCGACGAAGAACAGTGGAAGCGAGCAATCTACTCGGAGATCAAAAATCTCGTCTCAAACGACACGTGGGAGCTGGTCCCACGACCCCAAGGCAAGGTAGTCAATTGCCGCAAATACAACGACAACTCGCACTGTGCGTCGAATCATCGATGAAGTTGGCTCAAGTAGACGTCACCACAGCATATCTCAACGGCAAGATGGACACCAAAGTCTGCATGGAGAAGCCCAAACTACTCGAGGAGATGCTGCAGAGGATCGTCGATCGGGAGGGAACCTCAGACGTTGTCCGCAAAGCAAGACACATGTCACAACTTCGCCAGGGTGACCACGTCTGCAAACTGAACAAGTCCATTTACGGGCTTAAACAATCGGGCAGATTGTTGCACATCAAACTGGACAGCACCCTTCGCAAGCATGGTTTCGTTCCTTCCAGTGCGGACCCGTGCGTGTACTTCAACAAGGCGAAGGATCTGTTCGTGCTGGTGTACGTGGACGACCTGCTGGTGGCGTACAGTTGTCCAAACAAGCTGCAGTCCTTCAAACAAAAGCTCCGTCGAGAATTTGCCATTCGCGACTTGGGCGACGCCAAATTCTGTCTTGGAATCGAGGCGAAACAGTCGGAGCGGAACGGAACTGTCATCAGCCTGTCCCAGGCCGGGTACGTCAAGGACATCCTGCAACGGTTCAACATGCAGGATTGTAAACCCGTTAGCACACCGCTGGCGATGGGAAAACAGACCAACGACCCAGACCAAGAAGTTGACGACGACGTCAGCTACCCCTATCACGACCTCGTGGGCGCCTTGATGTATTTGTCCGTCGGGACACGTCCGGACATCGCACATGCCATAAGTTACCTGAGCCAGTTTAACTCGAAATACACCAAGGCTCACTGGAGTTCGGCGAAAAGAGTTCTACGGTACCTGAAGGGCACACCCAACCTGGGACTCACCTTCCGGAAGACTGGTAGCGCACTCCAAGGTTTCGTCAACTCCGATTGGGGAGGGTGCCTGCTAGACCGCCGTTCGTACACCGGCTACGTGTTCACAGAGGACGGTGGCACTATCCTCCACCGAGACCGAATACATGGGACTCTCTGACGCCGTGAAAGAGTCCATCTATTTGATCAAGTTCCTGTCGGAGTTGGGCTTCGAGAACCTTGCCAAGGTCCATCTCTCAAACGACAACTAAGGAGCGGCCAGGTTGACCCAAAATCCCATCTTCCATAGTCGATCTAAACACATCCGCTATCATTTCATCCGCCAAACGTTGAAGGAAAAACCCATCGACCTACAATATCTCAGCAGTGACAAGATGCCAGCCGACGCCTTGACCAAAGCATTGCCTGGACCCAAGTTCCAGTTCTGTTCTGACGCCATGGGACTTCGCCTGGTTCAAGATGACAAATAGTCTCTCGATTAAGGGAGGGTGTAGGAAATCGCCTTTTATAATCTCCTGCCTATTTGTGAGCGCTCTGCGCGTCCCCTGTTCTTTTTAATTTATTATATTATATTAACTATCAATAAATATTTTGAAAGAGATTGTGGACATATTGAGGCCTAAGTGAATTGATATAAAATTGTTAATTTTTAGGTAAATTGTTACCTTCTGCTTAACATATCAATGGTAAGATAAATTATTATGACATGCATTAATTATTCAAATGCAATAGCAAATGATTACATAACCCAGCCATGAACCGAAAGGTAATTATTCTTTTCAATATAATAAATGCTTTATGATTTGCAAAGTTAAATTATAATTTATTATTACCCAAAACTTATTTAAAATCTTTTTTTCATGGTAAATGGATATTACTGGATATCTGACCGTAATTTTCTACAAGGATCAACTATTCTTAATAACAATATCTTATCAGTATCAATATCTTCCACAATTCTAGCTGTAAGAGGACGTAATTCGCAGAGGCGGATTAAATGTAAAGAGCACCCTAGGTTAGCATCTCAGGGACGCCCACCTGGCGGTCACATATTTTGCAAAATAATAAGGTCGGAAGCTTTAAAAGTGTGATTTTTTGAAGTGAAACTTCTTTAGGCTCGATGGGAGTAAAATCTCAAGACCATGAAACGACACGTTTTGCAACGTTTTGTCTCGCGACGCGATAGGCTATAACAATAGACAGGCGCGCATGCGCATATCGGTATTACAGTCAGCTGTTACAGACCGGCATCTCATATATTATAGTATACTGTATATTCACTATGCTATAGTGCTAAATTCATGTTTTGGTTATATCTATGCAGTTATAGTGTATTACACTAAATCTTTATTTAAAAACAATTAATATTTATTTAACCGTTTGGGGCGTCAAGAGTATTATTATATATTAATTCTAATTCGCTGTAGTTATTGATAGTTTACGGTTTCTTAAGCACTTGGAAAAGTAAACGGAAGCGAAAAAAATTTGACCATTTTTTTGTTATTGAATTACATAAAAACGTATTAAATTAATACTCCTTAGGTGGACTAAAGATAAAATATACTGAAAAACATAAATCCTGAAATTTCTCGTACCCTTTCTTTCACCAATCATTACTTATTCGTTATAAAGGTATAGAGATCGCCAAAGTAGTTTCAGTTCTTTCACGTGCACTGAGTTGCACCTGTTTTTTTGTAAGCAGGTTCTTCCTTAATTTTTTTTAGTTTAAAAACTTCCGCACGCGCCCCTTTCCAAGCTTGCGCCCCTAGGTATGTGCCTTGCGGATAATCTGAGACTGGTAGGTAATTGAGGTTCACAATTTAAAATGGAATCAGGTTATTGTTAACTTAAAACTACGTGAAAATACTGACGTATGTCTAATATTTGTAATTTAATTATGAATATTGTGTAAAAAATCGATTCCTCTTTTCATTTTCTGCGAAAACCTCTAATAAACAGTTTAAATCAATTAGCCTGTAACCTGTATATCACAAATGAACTACATACTAGTTGACTAAATAAGCAAATTAAAACGATTTACATTTGTTGCTTTGAAGAGAACTCGATCTCTTGAATAACGAGCTGAAAAGACCAGCATGTAGAGATTTTATAAAAGCTGTTTTGCCCACTGCGCAATGTCCAAGAACTCTAAGAATTAGCCTAAAGGCAGGCTTCGTAGTAGGAACCAGCTGTCTAACGTAATGATCCCTTTGGCCAGAATGGCGTAGCCTATCCAGCAAATCCGCTATATCCTGATGACCATACTTTAAAGCTGTTATATCAGCTCTAATATTGTCGGCATTTCTGGCATCAATATTACATCCAACTACACAGAGATATCTTAAAAAATGTTTAAAAAATTATGAAAATTGTTTAATGCGGCTTATTATCGTTTACCTGACAATATGGATATGGCCCTTCTTGGCAGCCAAATGTAACGGAAACAAACCCTTGGAATTGGGTTTTTCTAGATTGCATCCCAAGGAAGATAGTTTTTCAACTATGTTTAAAAGTCCTTTAGCACAGGCTATGTGAATGGGATAATCACCATACTGGAAACATGGGACAGTCATTTACTTAACAGTTTTAAGAAAATGGTACTAAATAAATCCTTGAAATTCTCACTGTTTCGTCATCCTATATACTAGGCATGGAAGTTTTTCTAGAAAACTAAAGAACTATAGTTCACGCGTAACATCATTGCCATTAAAAAAAGTATACTGTAATGTATACAATATATAGGGTTATTCACACTATACGACACGAAAAATTACGGCCATATTCTTAGATTTTTAAAATATTTTGTTGTGGGATGGATAAATAAAAAAACAGGTAAATACTGTTATGCAAGGGAAGAAAAAGTAGAAAAAGAGCGAATGTAAAGATAGGAGACTAAAGATTAAAAGAAGTGGCTGATTATAAGTATCTAGGATGTCAGATAAATCAGGACGGAAGGAGTAGTACAGATATAAAGCAGAGGATAGCGCAGGATCGAGTCGCCTTCAATGAAAAGAAGTCTTCTATGCTCGCGAACGTTTAATTTAGAAATTCGGGAAAGGTTGTTAAAGGTGGGTGTGGCGCGGCGCTGAACAGATGCAAAACATGGATAGTAGGCGCGGCGGATAAGAAAAGGGTAGAAGCGTTCGAAATGTGAGGTTACAGGCGAATGATGCGGATACCGTGGATGGAGAAAGTTAGAAATGAAGAGGTATTAGAAAGAATAGGAGAACAGAGGAGTCTATGGAAGTCAATAATAAATAGGTGAAATAGGTAAGTAGAACACCTTCTCAGGCATGAAGGTCTAGTCAGAGACATATTAGAGACAGAAATGGGAATTAGGAGGGGTAGAGGTAGACCTAAATTAGATTACTGTTCGCAAATAGCTAAGGATGTGGGTTGTTCTAGTTTTAAGGAAATGCGAAGATTAGCTCATGATAGGAAAAAGTGGAAGTGCTTATCCAACCAGTCTGACGACCTTGTGATGATGATGACAGGATGTTTAAAAAACACAAAACTTATCAAGGTTGTATTTTTTTAAACGGATTTTAAATTTTGTGAAAATGTAACAATTTTAAATTTCCAATTCTCAAGATGTATTACCACTTTTAAAACCATTGATTAAGTTTCATATCGCAATTATGAGAAATTGAGTAAGATATAGGTACCTACCGTACAATTACGATTAAATAAATACAAGTTTTAAACGATAATTACTTGTTTGGTTTAAATAGAACACTGTATTTTATGTCAACAGCAGTTGTAGAATTTAATCCTCTATCGAATACTACTATACTTTCCTATAGGTAACTGTTGACGTTTTCATTAAAATGTAAATTTTTAGAATGCAACGCGATTTTAACAAATTTATAATTTATCAAGTCAACTATAACATATTGATCGGCCAGAATTACATAAGAAACAACTGGTATAAACCAAAAACATTTCATTAACAAAACTTAAGATTTATGGGGTAGTTCAAAAGAGGAAATAAAGGAGTGATGGAAGTACAATAAATAATACTGCCTTACAGCAAGTGTTTAAAATGACGACCCCCTGATTCTATACGTAAACGTATTCTCTTCTAAGTCTTCATCAGCAATATTTGTGGATTTTGCATTTATGATTCTTGAAGCTTCTAGAATGCGTTGCTTCATAATAACTGGAAGATGACCTTTTTTGAGGATGACACATCCTCAAGATCCACAAATGAAAATGTTGGTCAATGTTGTCGAAGATTTAGAAAAGAGAATATGTTTACGTTTAGAATCAGACGGTAGTCATTTTAAACACTTTCTATAAGGAAGTATTATTTGCTGTATTTCCACCACTTTATCCTGTTTTAGACTATCCCATAAATGTTATGTGCTGTTAATTAAATGTTTTTGGTTTATAAAAAACGCTGTTCTCTCATGCTAGTATCGCGGCCAGGTTGCATGCTGCCGGGATGTAGTTGTGTATCGTATACATTAAAGAAGCAACGAGAAAAAGTTCTCCGATATAAACTAGTTCTTCCACACCTTTTATATTTTTTCATAGAAAAGCAGTAATAGACAACAGATTCAGTTCACCAATCCAATGTAAACTTGTCGTTTCCTACATTCAAAGTTCAGTAAACAGTATAGAAACACAATTATGGACGGAGTACGAACTAATTCGATTGGTTATTTTGATTGTGATTTTATTCATTAACGAGTTACAGACTACAAATAATAAGTTAAACTTAAAACGTGCAGTAGTTCACCTAGAACTCGCTTTTCTTTTATTGTACGAATTTGTTCGTGTAGTTCGCCGAAAAGAATCGATTTTTTTAATGGTTCGTTCGCAAACGATCTCTCCATGTCGGAAATACCGGAGTTGACGATAGGCCCAAACCTAGACCAGTAGTGGAAAACCAAAAATTGGTTTGTCGATTCCGGACCAATCTTCTACTGCTAAGGTTCGGTACACTAATGTTTCGTCAGGTTTAATGCAGTAGTGGGCAGTCAAGTATAGGTTTGTCAAAACTGAACTAATGTTCGGTCAATCTTAAAATGCCAAAATTCTATAGGTGCATTGACGTTTCCTCAAGCCATATCCAATACTGGACAATACACTTTTGGCCAATCAATACTGTGTCGAACTTGAACCAAACTTCGCCGAGGTTATATGCAAGGTGTTCCACCTAAAGCGGTTTCGTCCATAGCTTTGTTAAGTGTTATATTTTTAATAAAAAAAATATTTATATAAGTGGTTTGAAATCATATGGTGCATATATAGAAAATATTTTTAGTCATACAGGGTTCTCCTTTTCTTCTAGACGCTACCTAACTTCGATATTTAAATGTAACACCCTGTATATTCTTACATTTTTGTTTTGTTTTTGTTTAATTTTAGGCCAACTTTGTTAACAATTTCATACACTTATCTTTAGTAGTTATTGAGATATTCAATCTGCGGGTTGGAGAATTCGTTTTAGCACGAATTAACATATCTTTTTTGCTATGGGCAAAATGTGTACGTTCTTCAGAATCGGAAACCTTGAAATCTACTTTTGACAATCATACAAGACGAATAACTTTTTTGAATTGAAACTTCTATATAGACGGGGTATTACGATTTTTTCTGTCACGAAAAAGCCGTGTAAAGGTGATAGACGGTATATCGCGTGGAGAGAGGCGGCAGCGGTGGAGAGAGAGAAAGGCTGGCGGCGGCGGACAGAAGGCAACGGCTGTATTAGATGAATATAATGCGCCGCCGCGCGGAAAGTGGGGAGTCCGCTAGAGTCCCGGCAGCGTGTGCTGTGCTCAGCTGTTGTTTTCTTACCTCTACTCTCCACGTGGCTGGGCAGCATTGCCTCTATTTGCGGTCTGTGTAAAAACCAAATCATAATTTGCAGTAAACCTGTGAAAAGAAAATGTGTGCTGGAACACATAGTAGAAGTAAAACTTCAACGGACAAGTGGAAAAATGAATCGTAACAAAATGAAATGAAAACCAGACAAAATTTTTACGAGCAGGTTTTCAAATTGGACAAGTACATTAGCAATCTGCCCGTAAAACTTGAAGTAGAAATTTTGTTACGATTCGTTTTTCCACTTGTCCGTAGCCATCCGTTTTCCCACTTGTCCGTTGAAGTTTCATTTCTACTATTTCACACATTTCGTTTTTATTGATATTAAATGATACCGTTCGATGCGAAATTAAAAGCCCTTTCTACAAATAAAAGTTTTAATATGAAATAATCGATCTTTTCTGGAAAACTCTTAGAGATAAGAGAGAGGTTTTTAGTTTTTATGTTTTAGATTCCATTTGATCTCAGATAAGTATAGGGACCTGTTAACAAAGTCGATCTAAAATTAAACAAAGAACCCAAAAATGTAAATATATATTGAGTATTTAATTTAAAATAACGAGTAGCGTCCCGAAAAAATGAAGCAACCTGTATGACTGACAATATTTTTTAGGTATATACACCACATATACATTTATAAAAACATTTTTTTATTAACAAAGTTATGGTCGACACCGCGTTAAGTAGACCACCCTGTTTATACATAAGTAAGTATAAGTTGTGATTTCCTACATGGGCCATAATTATATGTTAATTAATTTATTTTAAGTAGTTCGTATGTCAACATAGCGGAAATAGTTTTTAATAATTCATGCAATATTGTAAAATAACGAATCAAATGCTTTTTATTTATGTGAGTAGTCTATAACACATCAGCCAGTAACTGCCGAAAACTGGTTAATAAAAGTAAAATAAAAATAAAAAATTGGGCATTGGAGAGCTAAAATTAGAACAGTGGCTACTACTGTTCGTGTCCCTCACGATAGACTAAATTTTTATATTTTTTAATAATGGGTTAATTTTAAAAAATTAACGATAAAATCTTCTTTTATTATTATATTTACTATGAGCTTGTATTTAAATTGGTTTTTAATTTTTACTTCATACGTTTCACCTATTCGAACTAAAAATCAGTTGAATTGATTTTAACTTTCATCGTGAAACATCCTAAATTTATCTAATAAAATAAACACTTTTGGAGCGTTTTATATTTGTTTTTATTTCACTTTATTACGTATTTTAAATTGTAAATTGTGAAATGTAACGTTTATTTTATAAACCAAAATAAAAATCTAAAAAGAAATCTCTGTAATATATTTAGTTAGGTAATGTTAAAAAATACTTTAAACAAACATTTATTTATTTATAAATTCGGCTTCGAAATAAAAAATTAAATCGTCCCGCTTCTTTATTCTCAATGTTACCTATTTTGCTACTGATTAAGACAACTGCGTTTTATAGTGCAAGTAAATGTAAATTTTGCCACAGTTACCTTATTTAATCACTAGAATGCACGCCTGTTTTATTGTAAAACTAAAAGAAATTTACTTACCGAATCTCTTATTTCAAAATTGGCACCCTTTTCTAATAAACGAAATGCAATTTCAACATGTCCTTTCCGCAGAGCTAGATGTAACGCAGGATCTGGTCCTGTATCCAACGGATTTTCTTCGGATTCTAACAAAAATCTAAAAGAAACGTTCAATTATCTATTAATTTAAAATAGGCCTACAATTATTATTCTAAAAAACAATAAACTACATACTCTACTTCCTCGTAGTTTCCTTCTTTGGCTGCAAGTTGTAAAGGCGTATATTCAATTGAACCGGACGGGCTATAAGACGATCCTCTACTTATACACGTGTGCATTTTGAAGATTTTAAAACTACAGTGGATCTACAAAATCTACTGCTACAAAATATTTAATAACCTTTTTGATTGGTAGGTTAGGAATGCCTGAAGTCCCAGGTAAGGACTAATTTCACTTTCTACAACAAATCAATAATCTAGAACATGATCAGATTGCAACTCACAGAGAGTTTTTTACTATTAGACTGAAAAAAAAAACGTTAAAAACAAATCTATTGAAGTGAAGATGAGTAAAATAAACAGATATTAACGATGAACAGATTTAGTAAAAAGATTGATGAGATATTTTTAACTGCAATTTATTTTTCTTGTAATTCTAAAATAGAGATTAATTGGGAAGGGATAAATAAATAATATTTTCAAACGCAACGAAAATAATAAAATCCTTTAATATTAACACATCGTTTTAGGATTCATTGCTATAAACAATTTTAATTACTCTTCATGTGGTCATTTTTTTTTTTTTTTCAATGTTCCTTGTTAAATTTTTAATTCATAGTTAGCGTTTTTAGTGGAGCGCGAGTTTTGACCTCGTACTTTTGTTAGAATGAATGAATTTATTTGGTCGAGGTGGGATTTTATTTATTACACTATAAAATGAAAAGTTTTTTTTTGTTTTTTTGTTTTTTTTATTATTTGAATAAAAACCAATTAATGCAAGTAAGCATATAATTTTATTTTTTTCATCTACTTATACGTTGAATTTTACTTAAATAGACAAAAGAAAATTTTTGGAAATGTTGAGAATTAAATTAGCTGACAACAATATTTTTTATACCTTGCAGACAAATTAATTGTTGATACACTAACTAATTTAACAATAAAAAATGTGATAGTTTCAAAAAATATTGATGGCAAAGGCCAACAAAAAATATTTTCTTCGGAAAGTTTAGAAGAATCGTTTCCAAAATGTAAAGAACGTATTATTTTTTTACATCCCTTTACGGGTTGCGATGCTACATCAGGGTTCTTCAACAAAGGTTTAAGTTTCTGAGAAACGTCGTAATTTACACGAATCAGCAAAAGTATTTAAAATTGTGAAAGAAGACTCCAATAATATAATTCAAACAGGTGCTTATGATAGTGTGACAAAAGTTTTACTGATCCCAGTCCTTCCAAAGAATAACCTGGGGAAATAATCTTTTGTATGATTAAGCCCTGGATGGGGATCGTCAAGATGAGGTTCCTGTAAAGAAGGAAATTTTTGCTTAAAAGGTTTGACATGCGCGTTAGTTGGTCGTTTAGAAATTTTTCCTTCAATCCTTTTATCATCTACTTTTTCTAGTTCTAGATTCTCAAACTTTGGAGCATCCTTTATTGTTCTAGATTTTCTCTGTATATAAACTACAGGTTCATTAACATCTATTTGTCTTCTACTTTGTTTAACGTTATTTCTTTTGTCTAATTGCCTATTATTGTTCGAAAAATGGAATAATTTTTATCCTTCTGTTTTTACTATAGTGTTGATAAACTAACTAAATCAACCTGGTATAAATGCAAATTATCATAAGATCCATAGAAAAGATCGAATGGACTGTAACCGGTAGAGGTATGTATTGACGGATTACAAACTAAATTACACTAATCCTTAAATTTTGCGGGGTTTCATGGGGGTTTTCTAAAGATAATGTTCTTTTCTAAGATGATTGAATAGAACCGTTCAATGGTTGTATTTGAATAATAAATGTAATTCGATTTTAAAAATGCAGTAATGTTCTTTTAAAATGTAGTTCGCGAATTCATTATTGAATCTGAAACAATGTTTCGAAGATAGTTGTGATAGAGAAAAGTAATGACTCGACTTATTCATTATAGTTACATCGGATACATAATAAGCCTTGGCATATTTTGTAAACAAATCGATTATGGTAAAAAATTTATTATAGTTAAAAATGAAAATATCGGTAAGAATAATTTTAAACAAACGTTTAGTCAACAAGGGTCCTGAAAAAGCAATTTTGTAGGGGTGCCTTTCGTATTTTGCTTGAAAACAAGCCTCACATTCGTTTATTATTTTGTTGATAAGTCCTTTCGTTTTTGGCCAGTAAAATTGTCTGTTTAGCAGTTTGTATGTCTCTACGATCCCGTTATGATTTATTCGGTGGTAGTTATTAATAATTCCGTGTTTTTTTCACCTTGCGTACAAATTACTTTTAACAAATTTCATTTCACCACCCTTAAAAACGTCTGTAATCAATTTAAAAAAAAATGATATCTAATTACTTATCTTTAAAGAAAACACAACATAACGTTTTTGGTACGACTACCTCTTTTATTGGCTTTAGTATGTCGTGTTTTTCGTTCCCTTGTCTACTATATATTTCCCAGGTATATTTTCGAAATGGTCGAGTAAGTTTAATTTCGTAATATGGATGAAAAATTAGTCTATATAGAAATTCACCGGTTTTTCAGAAATTGGTACTGAACAAATAGGGTCTTCAGTCGTAGTATGCTGAGTTTCTTCTCCGTCGTTTTCCAAAATTTTGTCTAAAGCAGTCGGGTCTAAAGCATCTTCGATATCGACATTGGGTAAAATTGAAAGTACATCAGTATCATCTGTCGCGATTTCCCGAACGTTAATTTCCACTCTGGACAAAGCATCAGCATTAGAATTCTCTTTACCTTTTTTGTACTTGACTTCATAGTCAAATTCTTCTAATTTTAATTTCCACTTAGCTAACGTGAATTGGGTTGTTTGAGTTTGAGGAGGCAAAAATGTTTTCACAGCACAGTAATGTTAGATATTCCAATTTTTTGGTATTTGTACCAGTTTTTAATAATTTGTACATTGTAGCAAAACATTACCAGTCAATAAAAATCTGTAAAAAAAATTGGTTGTCTGTAAAGTCGGTTTACTGACGATAGTTGAACGTGACAACGTCATAAGAAAGTACTGATGGAATGGTTTCATCTTTCAAAAGAAAATTTTAATTTTATTTGTTTGATAGATATTTTGTATGGATATAGAGAAGGAGGTAAATGGAAATGTATTATTGTATAGCAGCTGTCCACGCGGACGCATCGCTCACTCAAGTAGGAGAGAGACAGATGTCGAACGCTGCCGAACGCGGAGGCCGATTGTGCCTCTTTCTCGCTCGTTCCGCGCTCTCGCTTGCACTTCAAGCCTTAAATGGAACGCCTCAGAGCGAAGTAACGCCGCATGAGTCATGTTTTTTCGTGCGTGCACATCGAATTATAAGACGTTGTCACGTCAAAAACAATTGTCTTGTACCTAACCGTAGAAACGACATTTTTTCATAGTCAAAAGAACAAAAGCTGAAGGTTGAATGGTCGAATTCCAACGGTTCACTTTATGATAGGGAAGAAGGCCGTTATTATCGTTCAAGCTCCCCTAGCACAAAAATTTTTGTCGTAGAATACCTACGATTACAACAGCTGAAATCGTAACAATCGCAGAAAAACATATCAAAAAGCAGAAACAGGAATTGTCTGGTGAATTATAGATTTCGTCTATATATTGTAAACAAGACTCTTTTTATATTCCAATTACATTTAGTGATTTAGCATTGCATAATATTAAATCTCATAAATGACATCAATCTTCAATTATTGAAACTTTACAAGACATTGCAAGGATATGAAAAGAATCTAACAATAAAAATACTAAAGATCTTTATAAACCCTGATATGAATCCACAAAATCCTCTTGCTATTCTGAATTATGTATGAATCTTGATTAACCTTTTCTAAGTAAGCTATGTCAGACCATCGCAAATACACATATATAATTTTAAGTTTGTGCCTAAATAAATTATATAATACTTCTTGAATTGAAATTATTTTGTTGTAATTCACAAATATATCTTATATCATATGGAAAAGAGCACAATTTCTTTTGGACATCAGACTCAGCTTTAACCCACGCAGCGGCCACAAAAGAATTTCTACACAATTTGGAGATGAAGCACGAGTAGAAATAACAACACGATCCAAAGAATAAATCATAACATTCGTTTTTTCTGTTTACACAAAAAGATTGGAAAAAAGTAAATTTGAAGATTTCTTGAAAAAGATTCAGTTATTATTTTGAACGGGGAAGTTGACCATGTGGAATTAACGGTACACTGAACGCATTCTTATTTGCTATTGTACTGAACGTAAAACTCTTCGACTTCATTCAAATACATATAAATAAATTTCGTTTACTTTCTGTAGCGATGTGACCTTCAATTTGACCGGCGCAAAGTAGAAAAGAAAAGCACTAGGCCAGAAAAGGAAGGAGACAACTCTCGGCCAAACTCTTAACCGGTGAGGAGCGTATAATCCGTACAGTACTGTACGGAAAAATTGACCAATTTATCCACTACAATTGCATTGCTCAAATGTGCTATTATTGGTACCATTTACTACTGAAAATATCAACGAGATGTTTATTTATATTTAAAGACTTTAACGCTTGTTTTCGACTCGCACTACTATTCATGATTGAACAAAACTTTTGGCAGGTACTGTATGAAAAAGTATGTTTAATGAACAAGAGACGGAGTATAATGAGCTTTTTTCTACTCACCTACGATTTTGCCAGCGCGCAACCAAGACTTTGGAAGGGGCACATCTCTAGAGAAAGTAAATGAAGTATAGTATCCAACGTATATACATATGTATCTAAGTCTGTAAGGAAAGAATTTTCAATTTAAGCTAATAATAAGCACTTCTTATCTTCTCAATGACTAAATTGAAAATTTTTGTGTACACCTTTTCACTGCAGTCCCAACTAATTTAAAAAAATATTTTATACAATTGTGAAAGTAGGAAGGGCAGCAAATTTAGGCGTCGCCGCGGGTGGCAGAAATTTACACTACACCACCTTCGGATTTCTCAAATTAACGTATTCTAAAGACGTTCGAAGTTTTTGCCTGATACGTTCATAATACTTTTCATAATTTTCATTTCATAGCTGAAAGCATGTAACTAAATCATTAAGTAGAAGGTCCTCATTTCGCAGATTACGAAAACGCGATATCAAAACATCTTTTACCTATCCTACCCGATATACATTTCTAGATGACTTTTCCAATAAGTTTGAGTCCACGTTTCAGCAAAAGATATATTCTATGTATCTCTCGCATTACGATTTGACTTAATTTGTTAGAAAAGAAACTTAATTAACGTCGGTTTTATTCTCAAAAAACGAAATAAATTTTTCCAATTGTTAAATAAAATAGGCTGAGTTTTTGGAATCGCCTGAATATTCAGGAAACATATCATTAGCTAAATTTAATTCTAANATCGCTCACTCAAGTAGGAGAGAGACAGATGTCGAACGCTGCCGAACGCGGAGGCCGATTGTGCCTCTTTCTCGCTCGTTCCGCGCTCTCGCTTGCACTTCAAGCCTTAAATGGAACGCCTCAGAGCGAAGTAACGCCGCATGAGTCATGTTTTTTCGTGCGTGCACATCGAATTATAAGACGTTGTCACGTCAAAAACAATTGTCTTGTACCTAACCGTAGAAACGACATTTTTTCATAGTCAAAAGAACAAAAGCTGAAGGTTGAATGGTCGAATTCCAACGGTTCACTTTATGATAGGGAAGAAGGCCGTTATTATCGTTCAAGCTCCCCTAGCACAAAAATTTTTGTCGTAGAATACCTACGATTACAACAGCTGAAATCGTAACAATCGCAGAAAAACATATCAAAAAGCAGAAACAGGAATTGTCTGGTGAATTATAGATTTCGTCTATATATTGTAAACAAGACTCTTTTTATATTCCAATTACATTTAGTGATTTAGCATTGCATAATATTAAATCTCATAAATGACATCAATCTTCAATTATTGAAACTTTACAAGACATTGCAAGGATATGAAAAGAATCTAACAATAAAAATACTAAAGATCTTTATAAACCCTGATATGAATCCACAAAATCCTCTTGCTATTCTGAATTATGTATGAATCTTGATTAACCTTTTCTAAGTAAGCTATGTCAGACCATCGCAAATACACATATATAATTTTAAGTTTGTGCCTAAATAAATTATATAATACTTCTTGAATTGAAATTATTTTGTTGTAATTCACAAATATATCTTATATCATATGGAAAAGAGCACAATTTCTTTTGGACATCAGACTCAGCTTTAACCCACGCAGCGGCCACAAAAGAATTTCTACACAATTTGGAGATGAAGCACGAGTAGAAATAACAACACGATCCAAAGAATAAATCATAACATTCGTTTTTTCTGTTTACACAAAAAGATTGGAAAAAAGTAAATTTGAAGATTTCTTGAAAAAGATTCAGTTATTATTTTGAACGGGGAAGTTGACCATGTGGAATTAACGGTACACTGAACGCATTCTTATTTGCTATTGTACTGAACGTAAAACTCTTCGACTTCATTCAAATACATATAAATAAATTTCGTTTACTTTCTGTAGCGATGTGACCTTCAATTTGACCGGCGCAAAGTAGAAAAGAAAAGCACTAGGCCAGAAAAGGAAGGAGACAACTCTCGGCCAAACTCTTAACCGGTGAGGAGCGTATAATCCGTACAGTACTGTACGGAAAAATTGACCAATTTATCCACTACAATTGCATTGCTCAAATGTGCTATTATTGGTACCATTTACTACTGAAAATATCAACGAGATGTTTATTTATATTTGAAGACATATTAAAGGCTTTAACGCTTGTTTTCGACTCGCACTACTATTCATGATTGAACAAAACTTTTGGCAGGTACTGTATGAAAAAGTATGTTTAATGAACAAGAGACGGAGTATAATGAGCTTTTTTCTACTCACCTACGATTTTGCCAGCGCGCAACCAAGACTTTGGAAGGGGCACATCTCTAGAGAAAGTAAATGAAGTATAGTATCCAACGTATATACATATGTATCTAAGTCTGTAAGGAAAGAATTTTCAATTTAAGCTAATAATAAGCACTTCTTATCTTCTCAATGACTAAATTGAAAATTTTTGTGTACACCTTGTCACTGCAGTCCCAACTAATTTAAAAAAATATTTTATACAATTGTGAAAGTAGGAAGGGCAGCAAATTTAGGCGTCGCCGCGGGTGGCAGAAATTTACACTACACCACCTTCGGATTTCTCAAATTAACGTATTCTAAAGACGTTCGAAGTTTTTGCCTGATACGTTCATAATACTTTTCATAATTTTCATTTCATAGCTGAAAGCATGTAACTAAATCATTAAGTAGAAGGTCCTCATTTCGCAGATTACGAAAACGCGATATCAAAACATCTTTTACCTATCCTACCCGATATACATTTCTAGATGACTTTTCCAATAAGTTTGAGTCCACGTTTCAGCAAAAGATATATTCTATGTATCTCTCGCATTACGATTTGACTTAATTTGTTAGAAAAGAAACTTAATTAACGTCGGTTTTATTCTCAAAAAACGAAATAAATTTTTCCAATTGTTAAATAAAATAGGCTGAGTTTTTGGAATCGCCTGAATATTCAGGAAACATATCATTAGCTAAATTTAATTCTAATTACGAGGGCTGAGCCGTTTTAGTATTTTATATAACTAAACTAAATGTTGTATTACTTAAAACGTGAAGTTTTCGCTTCAATGGCCCCCAAAGTTTCTAAATCAGAATCGCTATTTGAACTTTCAGAATTGATGGGAATTCTATCTCTATATATTTAACGCATATATTAAAGAAATACAATGGAATTACTCAAAAGAATTGTAAAGACTTACAGGCTAACTCATAAAAATTTCCTTGTAGTCTCCTCCAACAGGCGGGGTCGATGTCCAAGTCTGTCTATCAAAACTGCTGTCGATTGAAGATTATCCTAGTAACAGACACAAACTAAGCTTTGATTACTGTTGATGTTCACGTAACATTTTATGTCCAACGATTTTCGAATCCGCAACAGAGTTAAAACTCATGACTTTTCGAATTATTCGCCATTAATTATTTTGCAATTAAAGTATTTACGGATCTTTTCAATTGATGAAACTTTTTTATTAAAAACAACTATTTTTATTAATAAATTGCAAAAAGCTTAAAATTGATGCAAGCGACTTCCCTAATCTAGAAACTAATAAGTGACAATTTTATTATTACATATTTGAATGATGGAATACTAAAAATGCATAATTAGTAAAATACGGAATAAGTCGTTCCAATAGTAACATCTCACGCCCGTCAGTTGTTCATAGATTCAGGGACATAACTACAGAATAATTTTTTGATTTCTTTTCTAAACAATTTTTGTAACTTTCATATTTTTTCTCAATTTACTTCATTTAGATACGATTTTCGTAAATGTTCACTTTTATCATCCTTTTATAAACTTGTATTCATTACAAGAAACACAAATACTTTTATTATTATTGCATTTTTACAGGAAACTTTATTCTGCTATTAAAAAGCATCTTATCTAACAAATTAAATGTTTCTTTTTTTGTAACAAAAACTAATTATTCCATTGCAACCTTTTTCATTTCTATTTAAACTTACACTTACTTACATAAACAAATTGTTATAAATAATACATAAAAAAAATATCACATCTACAAATCATTGTTTTTTAGTAAATTTGCAACGATAATACTAATTAATGACAGTAAACTTGCACAAGTGTTCGAAGTAATTCTTTTTGGAATTTATCAAAGTATTTCCAAAGATCTCCTTCCAAGTAAACTAAATTGTTGGTTTCTAATGACTGGCATGTTAATACAAGAGATTGTAGTAACAAAAATAAGTCCTCAGACATCCCATAATCTACAAATATATGAAGAAGTAGTACCTAATAGGTGTATATTATTTGTCTGAATGAATTGATTTGAACATACTTTTTAAATTTTCTCCGATTTTATCGGCCCAAATATATTTCTCTAAAAGTTTTGCTGAATCTGCAGCCAACTTGTTTGGTGTAGGTCGTAGAATTAACAGAATAATTATCCTATTTATTTCACACTTTAGCAAAATATCCTTACGATATCCATTTCTAGGTGAATTTTCCAGTAAATTTGAGATTTCTGTAAATGTATTTAATGCTTCAATATATTCACCTAAAAATGAATGCCAATCAGTTACCTATACATATAGTTCATTATAGGTAGTTCAACTATCTTTACTACCATACAATCTTGTTAACTATTACCATATTCTGAAGTTTAAAATAAATAAATAAAATGAAATCCTTCTAATTACCTTTTTCTGCACAATTCTCTGCAGTTAATAGTAAACACAATGTTCTGCTATCCAAGCAGTTTTGAGATAGTTCAAGAGCATTTTGTAAATATATATCTTTAGAATCCGTGAAATTTAATTCGTTCAATGACTGAACTATTTCCAAATTTAAACCCACTCCTAAAAGACTGCTCTCAGGGTATTTAGAATTGGTATGGGCATAGGAACTTATTGCTGCTTGCAGATTTTCATTAGAAGAACTGGGACAGCCTAGTTTACTATTCTTCAATTCAGCTGATAGGAAGTTACGGGCAGATCTTACCAGATGTGATAACTCTCCTGGTACATTACCTAATGATCCTTCACACCTTGCTGCTGCAATCCAACACAAACCAGCATAAGGCTGTAATTCCAAATGTTCACATTGTTGTGCTAATGATGAAAATGAATTACTTGCATCTGCCACATTTGGTTTCCGTAAAAATCGCCTAAAAATATGTATACTTATTCATAATTTCAATAATGAAAATGGAAACAAAAAATTTCTATTTAAACTTCAGAAGTCTTATTACCTTTTTAAGCGACTTGAAATGCTTTTGTATTGTTCTAAAATGTCTGTCTGCATAATTTTATAAGACGTTCACTTCTTTTTTATTTAAATTAATCCTAAACTCGTCTTTTTAATAAGAGTATTTATTTTCTTGTCGTTTTCTTGATTTACATGTCTCAAGCTTTCAAATACATAAAAATTTATAGGTTAGAATTTCTTAATATTTGGAACTGTTTATTTTTGTATTTGTATATTGTAGTTAAAAGATCATCTATCTATGATCCTCATTACTAGGCTGTGTTCCATTCATTACTCCTGCATGGCGGGTTCCGAACAAAGATTTTCGAAAACATTGCGGTGCAGACGTATTAAGCACACATACAGTATACGTCTCAACCATTAAAACTAGTTATAGATGCAGAGTTTCTGAAACTTAAAAAAATAAATAAAGAAAAAGTAAGGCACGCTTGAAACGAGATATAATAGACGATGAGATAAATTCTCCGAAAATGTGTAAAAGATATTGGAGTTAAGCTTTTATTGATCGATTGATACAAATAAAACAGAAAAAAGAAGCCTTTTAAGATCATTGAAAATAGCTAATTTCGACAAACAAAAAGAACGATTACCTCGCAATGTAGGTATTTAAAGACAGTCCAAGCACAGCTGGCTTACATCTTAGAGCAGGTATGTCCCATTTTCTAATTATTCTTGAAAGCATTTATTCAGTTTGCGTTTTATGACTGTATTCGAGAGGCTATAGGTCTCGTTAGCATAATTAGCATTAAATATGAGACACTGTTTGATCAGTATATTTTCAACTTTCATAATCTGTGTTAAATATATTTTGGCCTTAGTTACCTACAGTTTATTATTAGTTTACGAAAGTTGTTAAAATACAAATCAGGTTACGTTATCCTTCCGTCGATATAAGATTGAGATATAAGTGCAACTCTGATCCTGATTTCTCAAGCTACTTGCACCTTATTACGTAAATAAAAAAGTCATTTCAGTTTTCCTACTGAAATGTATGAAATCGTATGATTTAGTCAACCCCGATGTTGCTCCGTTAATAAGAAGCCTCCCTGAGGATGATGTTGAAGATGATCCAACTTTGGTTGAGGATTTGGGTAAAGAAAGTGACATTGTTTCTGAAGACGAGGTAGGAGAACGTGAGGACTCAGCAAGCGAACAGGAAGGAGAATCGTCTGAGGAAGAACATGAAGTGTGGACATGGATAACATTTTTCTTGGAAAAGATAAACAGACAAAGTGGACGAAAAAGCGATTTCCGGCTGCTGCCGATCAATATAATATTGGGGCCTAGAGCGGCTAGGACTGCAAATCCGCCACTGCGTATAGAAGAAATCGTCAGTCTGGAGGAGCTACGGGGAACAGAAAGTGATGGAGTTGAGAAATTTACCCTTGTGATGAACATAGGACGATTGAAGTTTCTCATGCGTTGCACACGTTTTGACGATCGTACGAGCCGAGTACAACGAAAACAATGTGATCGACTTTACCCAAATTGTGAATTATTATTATATTCTTTGTTTAGTACTGTCAAAAGAACTACGCCCCTGGAGAAAATCTAACTATTGATGAGATGCTACCAGGATTCCGTGGGAGGTGCATTTAGGTAATACATACCCTCGAAACCCACGAAGTATGACATTAAATTATTTACCCTTGCCGATGCCAAAATGATAAAATAATCACCTGCAATATGGAAGTTTATGCAGGAAAACAGCCTGAAGGGTCATTTCTTGTCAGCAACAAGCCAAATGAAGTAGTGAAACGAATGGCTGAGCCTATTTTTGACATAGGGCGCAATATAACCGGTGACAATTGGTCTGGTCAATAAATTGATAGAATAGATGACTTATGTAGGCACCGTAAAAAAATAAAACGAACGCAATTACCACCTAATATTGTCTATGTCAGAGGAAGAGATCAATACAACAGCTTGTTCGGTTTCAACAATGAGGTTTCATATATACCAAAGAAGGGGAAGAATGTGATTCTCGTTTCATCACTTCGCGAAACTGATACAATTAATCAGTGTACCAGAGAGCAAGAGAAACCTGAAGTGATTACCTTTTACAACTCCACCTTTGGTGTATTTTCAGCCAATTTAGTGTGTGCCGGAATATGAGACGCTGGCCAATACTAATTTTTTTTGCGTACAAAAATGCTCAACTGATTTCAATTGGGAATCAACTGGAACCACTAAAACGGAGAATTTTCCTCAAAACTTTGTATATAGTCTGAATACAAGTGGAATGCCAACTCAACTGCAGATCCGCTTGAAAAGGTTTTTACTTCAACAAGAACGCGAAACGTCCCCTCCCCCCTACCTCAAAAAAAACGCAAATGTGGGATATGTATGTTTGAAACAATATTTAGAAAAATGCCAAATTACGAATGCAAAAATTGTCACCAACCGATCCGATTACATCACGTATATCTACTACGCGGGACATGTTATTCAGCTGTTGATTTGGACTCATCAATGCCGGCTTCTGTTCACGACTATGTGAAATAATGACGATCACACCAGGAATGGCTATTGGGATCCGTCAAATGGGAGGAGCCTAAAAACATGGCGCCGATTAGGGAAAATTTGTCGTGTACCGTGCAATTTCCAAGTTTTTAAATTACGATAAAAAGTATTGACACAATATGTGATTGGGCTGACAAAAAGCAACGGAAAGGAAATTTCATTGAAGGTGAGCGTGTTTTTAATGCCAATCACTTTATAAAATTCGGAAATAACAAACCCGGAAGCTAGCCTTCAAATTCCGTCAAGTTTACTGCCTACTTTTTACAAACTTCGGATTTAAAAAGCGATTCACGTTGTATAATTGGTGAGGTGATTAAGCAATATCATATCAATGACTTGCACGTGCAAAGCCGATTTAAGAGAACGTTGCAAACACATTATTGCAACTTTGTTGTATTGCAGCAGGTAGGTTCTTAACCTCAAAATACTTACATCGTATCATAAGAATTGTGTTAAATCAATTACACAGGAATAAATAATTTCTCACTTTATAATTTTAGTATGATTCTAGTTTTAAATATTAAGGTTATGGCTGATGGTAAATACTTGCTGAAATATAATCATGTGCATTAAAATGACGTGAACAAATTTTTATTCCGGAATTCACTTCTTTGATACCTACTGCTTACATCCAAGCTTCTATTAGTTTTTTTTTTCGATAGTTTTATTTTATTCATTCAACTCGTTATTTTTGTTTAATTTGATATATTTCCCTTCCCGAAATACCAGCTAAAGCCAACCTAAGAGGTTTTTGAATTAAGACTGGTAATGAAAGAGGGATGGACTAAAAAATTCTTCTGGATTCTTATTCTTATTTCTTTTCGGAATGTGGAATTGCAAATTATTCACTGTCTCGAAATTATGGTCACTTTCGGATTATTCTGAATTTTTGGGACATTTTATAATTGAAATAAAACGAAAGTTCGAATTAAAATGTTTATTAAAACAATGTACGGTTGATATTGTTTATAATAAATTAAAAGGCGTTGTACCAAAAATACAACATTAGGTAATAACTTTTTGCAACTTAATTGTAAATAATTGGCTAGTATGTTACAAGTGTATTCACATCCTTGTAAGTGACTGTACAATCTGACGAATACTACCCTTTTGACTGAACACTTATCGAACGCCAAGTACACAATACGTCATATATTAACACATACAAGTAACAACCGGTAACACAAATGAACGATAAATAAATAAATACTTCGCGAATTTGAACGTCCGATAAGTGCGAAATTTCACTATATTATTTATAATTATTTCGTCGCCGATTTCAAGTACGCTATGAGGTCTGCGCGTTCTTGAGGTTTCTTGATGCCCGCGAAGATCATCTTCGTGCCAGGGATGTATTTTTTCGGATTTTCCAAGTATTCAAAGAGAGTGTCTTCGCTCCAAACAATACCTTAAAAAAATACTCCATTAAATGTTTTCAACTATATAGTGATATTTTTAAATTGTGTTGGTGTTTTGCAAATAAATTTTTATATTCACATCTAATCTAAGTAAAGAAAGTAAATTTTAAAGATATCAGCCCGTCTGCACGTCTATCAGTTATTATTTACGCAATTACTAATGCTATCAATTTGAAATTTGGCATAAATCTAGAACATCTTAGCCCCATTTTTTGTAAATAAACACGAAAAAAACATTTTTATAGTCAGATGAATGTTCTGCTTAGCTTATGTATCGTAAAGCGTTTTTATTAACAAAAAATAAACATATTATTTGCATATTTTCATAATGAATAATGTCTTGTCAATTGTTTTATTGTGCAAACAGAAACTCTGTTATGTAAACGTCAACGTAATACAATCCAATATAAAACATACTACACTATCAATATAATGGGTAACGTGTAAAGGCAAACATAACTGAATAGTTATCATTCTTATCACAATTTCACAATTAGAGAAAATCCTGCATGTGCGGAAACTACGAAAAATCCTACATATATAAAAATATAATTTNTAATTTTATTAAATAATATAACAATTTTAAACATAAAACATTAAATAGTACAAAACTTCGGTTAATCTGCTGATTTGGACTCGAGTAAGACCTTTTTGAAATGCTTAATGGTAAATGAAGACCTTTCAAATCCTAACGCGCACAGAAGTTGGCATTTGATTCATTTTAGCACCAAATACTGCATTTGGAGTCTCATTTAACCTTGGTTATATTAGTTTATGTTAAGTTTGGTAGGGTAAGTTAGGTTATGACGGATAAAAGTTCCCCCTCCTCTAAGGAGCTTTCCCTACCCCTCCCCCCCAGGCGGGGCTTCGAATACAGTAAAATTTGTAATATGACGCACGATACAGTACAATAGCATCGACTAGCATAGTCTAAAGCTTTGGACTATTGTATAGCATTCCAGAAGATACTGATTTGAGTCCGCCTGTCTTAGTCCAAATTTTTTTTGTGGTTTTCTTGAATCGTTTAGACACATCTGGGGCAATAATACTCCGCAGATATTCTTTCGCTCTCTTCTGTTTTCATTTCATCTTTCTCTGCTCAAACATCACTCATCAATTCCCGCGATTCCTAAAAGGATGCTGAAGAGGGTCTTCCACCTTACCGTTCAGCGTAGTCCGTAAACCACCCATGTTTTGTTACGAGTTTTTATTTTGATGACCTTTAAAACCGTTGGCATTCGTTATTTTATTTTCTACCTCTACATATAGCTTTCTGTGTGAAGGTGATTGAGAGAGTTTATGAATGATTGAGTTCTGCCGGATGATTGGATTATTAGATAAGAAATAATAGGTGAAAATGTATATGTATGTTTATATGTAGACTTGAAAAGAAAAGGACCGTAATGACGGAAAGAACGAGTGGCCTATTTAGGAAGAGCCGTTCGACCACGACACATCAAAAAGTCGCTTAAATTAATGGCCTGTACATGAGCGTTGCATCACAAAAAATAAGTCGAAAGCCAACTTCTTTACTGCGCGTTGAGGGTAGAACCGTTCGAAAAATCTTGACTCAAACTTTCCAAAAATGTAAAATCATTTGGCCTCCAATTCAGTGAGTTCAATTCGGAAGAATTACCAAAACTTCAAATTTTCACTCTTCTAATTAAAACTAATTAATTCATCAATTTAAAAACGTAAATCAAAAGAAAATACCCCGTCCACTTATATATAAAATTAGATAGTTTGTTTTCATTCAGATTTACATTTAGTGCCAAGAACTTACCCTTAGCTTTGTTGGCATCAGTGTATGAAAAGCCTGCTGCTTGACCTGTCTTTCTACCGAACAAGCCATGTAAATTAGGACCTACTTTGTGTTTGCCTCCTGCTTCTACTGTGTGGCACTGAGCACACTTTTGAACAAAAACTTTTTTTCCTTTTTCAACATCTCCAGCAGGTACTCCCATTTTGTTCTGTTTCTACTTGGGTGAACCTGGTAAATCAAGCCTGTTTTACAATACCTACATGTATACATATTAAAACTTGTAAGGTATAAACCCATTTGCAATGAATGGGTAGCTTCCGAGAGTAAGTTTTACCTTACAAATTTTCTCATATAAATGGTATACACCTACATAAAATACAGCTAGCTTTGAAATTGAAGGTCACTCTAACACGTGGTCACACGCTATAAGTGCACATAAGTTAAATGAGTGAAAATCAAGAAGGTTTTGTTACATAACATTTTGAAATATTAGAACAATTTTAAATTGTTTGCAGCAATTTTTCAAAATTTTGAAATGCTAATTAAGAAATATTTCAGTTTTATTCTCGCAAGTTTAGGTTATGTAATAACAATTTAAAACAATCATAGTTTTAATTCATACGAAACTCCAAATTTGAAAATTTCTCTTAAATAAGTCAAAATATTTTTAAATTAATAAAGGTTAAAGTCAACGGTTACGTAAGATAATAGGCATAGCTACATGATCGTATAATATAGAGTAATTTTACAGATGATTGCTTCACTTAACACGTTATTACGGTTTTTATTTGGACGAGTACAGTTGAGAAAGTAAATAAAAGAGATAAAAAATAACTACTTCATGAATGACTTACCCCTAGCAACCTCGGAACCAACACTCCAACAAAGTAGGAAAATTACTGACGAACACCGGACGAATCAGGGAATGACAGACTTTTACGTTGTTCGTGTAATCGATTAGTCTCGTGATAAAGGTGACTCTTTGAACATTTTAAACTTGAACATTCCTATGCAATATTTTTCAGTTCATAAGCGAGTTGAACTTCTGTATCAGAGGTGGCAACACTGTTCACTTCCAACCAATGACAAATCTAAAAAGTTACAAACTATATATTTTTAGTTTTTATATTTTAGATTCATACTTAGGTAGATTGGTAGATACACTAGAAACGTCAGGTACTCGGGTCCGAACCAATCACGTGGTAGACTACCAATAATTATAAATTAATTAAACTCCATGGACGTAGAGTAACTACAGGCTCCCGAGATCAGAATACATTAAGAAGTTAATGGAACCACTCTACGTGGGTGTAAAGTGTTATAAAATTATAATTAATTCGCTATTATTTATTTATTTATTTTACTAGCCACTTTATACCTATATATATATACATATATGTCTTTGAATGGAGCCATCCGTTTTGTTGTTAAATAAATCACGTAATCATGTTTTCCTGGTTCGCAATATTCTTTTGTGATTTATTTTGGTTCTCTTTTAATATTATTAACCTTTTACCATTTAAATGTATCCCAAATCGTTTTAGTCGTTTTGTTCATTTTGGGTATTGATTAAAAAACGAAAAACGATATCAA